AAGTAAGAGAGGCAACATAAGTGAGATTTTTCAAAGTTCGAGTGCCAAGGTTTCTGAAATTACCCCTAAAAGATGAATTATTTTGGCACAACAGAAACAGGAGATGTGAAATTGTACAATTAATTTATCCACACATCTTTCTTTTATCAGTTACACTTTCTCTCTCTTTGATTCACAATCATGGCCAGATTTACACAATTCTTGTACTTGGAATCTGCGAGACGGCCACATGAATTTCAGATAGTACGGGTGAAAAAAAATTCAACTTTGACGTAAAACATCCTGTCGCAGATTAGGCAGCGTTAGCCGGAAGCTGTTTGGGTTCATCCAACCAGAAAATTATACCAAAATCACAACCGATTCCTCAAAATCCCATTCCAAAAGCAACAAGTTTTAGTCCTCATTCCTAATCTTTTTGAGCGTAGAATCCTTAAAGACCCAGTTCCTTCTTCAACTGCGCAAGGGCTGCCTCGATATCATTGATATTTTCCTCGATCCACTGTTGCCTGCATCATTTTGGTTTACATTTCCTGTTTCCTTTGATCCGTAGGATGCATTACCCCGTTGCTGCTGGTTACCCTTGGTTTGTTCCGCTTCAACGTCAGAAATGTTCAGCTCTTTCTCCAAAAACTCAACAAATTCTTCTCCAATTTCCTGCAGACAATCAAATTAGTGACAAGCTGCAACCGCACCTTGATCATATCATTGGTGCTTTCAGTTAAAAAAAAAAAAGCAAATAAAAAATTGGCCAATGGAAGGATATAATCAACATGCTTCAACCCCAGGCTCAAAAGAACAAAGAAATAACATAAGAGAACCAATAGTGCTTTTACCCAGCAAGCACCTCCCTCTTTCTAATGAATTTCTACTCAGTCTACTTCAAGCGCAGAAAATCTCTTACCGCCAATTCCTCCCACAAGCTCTTTGGCTTTCCTTGCGAATCAGCACCAGCCTCCCAGTTCCGAAATTCTTTTGAAGATCCTTAAAGAAGTCCTCTGCAACAAAACATCTAAACGTCAAAACCATGTGCATATTAACTTCAAGACAGAGATGAAAAGCATTTTTAAGAAAGATAATGCAAGGTGGTATCAGGGCTCTCATTGTCATGCAAAGTGCACATATCTACCTATGGATATTTGGACATCCCTCAAAAAGTTACCTGCAGCATGAAGGGGTTAAACATGAGAATAGATGGAGAGAATGTCATACTCTAAAGCATTAGATGCGCTCTGTGTTCATGCAATGCCTTGCAAAATAGAAATGAAAAGCTAGAACTGAAAATTGCATAAAGAACAATTACAATAACATCAATTTGTACAAGTTGTTAGGGCAAGACAAGCTGTGACTCGTTTTGGATGAAATGTCAAGTTCGTACCAGTGGGAAAAAAAGGAGGACAGGACAAAGCCAGGGTAGCTAACTGACCTTCTAAGACATTTCTCACAACTTAAGGTTGTTCAGAGTAAAAGCAAACAGAAAACAAAAGTAACACATAAATGCAGCACAGAAACCAATAATCTCATTAGTCAAACAGCATAAGATTTCCAAGAGCAGGTAGATTTTACCAAATCCATAAAACTCTTCATCATTGTTCACAGTCCAATTATCATTTCTACCAGCTGTGGAATAAGAAGATTCAGATCCACGGTTTCCCTTATCAAATCTTCTGTCAGATTTATTTAGCAATGTATTGTACGCATGCTTAATCCGCATGAATCTTTCTTGTGCATTCGCCTGCAGATATTAAACGGAGAAAGAATCAGAGGTTGTAATGGGTACAAAGAGTTGGAGGTGAACCAATAATGTATGTCTGATACATGAACTCATATTTCAAGGTTAACACAACTGAAATCCCTTTGAGTGAATTACACAAAATAGCCTGGATTTACAAATTCTTTGCTCTTCAAAGATTTTAAGCAGACAATATTTACCCCTTGTTCCATTTACATTATGTTGTTAATCCATATTCCAGAATAACAGCAAACTACCGCTTGTGGCTGATTGAGAACGCGATTTACACTTTCAAATATTTTCACTCCAATGGAGTCCACCATTTGACAATTGTCACAGTATACAGAACCAAAATGGAACGAGAAGCATCTTTTCTGTATAGAGTGCTTAAAAGATGTTAGAAAAAGTAGGAAAAAAACATGTACTTAGAAAGGCAATAAGGTAATAAAATGAGCCAGGACTCTTCTATTAACATGTCAATTCTTGTCCGAACGTGACATTCTAGTGTTGTATGAGATGCTTATTTGCGAATAGCCTTGAAAATTTGCAATCATCATATAAATCAGCTCGATAGACAATCATGCTAGTAGTCATGATTGAATAAATAACCGAATTAAATGATACTCCTTTTGTTCTTAACAGCATTAATGAAATGAGCTTGACAGTAGAGGGATGATGGATGTTATCAAAAGACAAGCCCTTGAAGTTAGAATAGAGTCCCAAGTAACAATATTTGCTTGATGTCATTACTGGCAGTTTAATAAACATAGTTAAATCCTTTAGACATGGAAAACCATCTTCTGAGACTCTGTCTGTTCATTGTCTCAAATGCAAAATAAAGCTAATGTCCTCTGCCACAAGGTATAATGAGATGAGCTCAAATATGTTAAATCCTTTAGACATGGAAAAACATCTTCTGAGACTCTGTCTGTTCATTGTCTCAAATGCAAAATAAAGTTAATGTCCTCTGCCAGAAGGTATAATGAGACAAGCTCAAATATGGATTGAACCACTTCCATGATATTTGACCCATCAGAAGTCCTCCTTTTGCCACCACTATATGCATTCCACTTTCACCCTCATACTCACCTCCACTTCCCCCTCCTCTCCCCATCCCTCTCTCTCTCTCTTCCTTTCTGCAAACTTACTACTGCCTTGAGTTAAAGCCCCACAACAAGTACACCAAAAGGTAAACGTGGCAGTGCCTGCTAGCAATTAGATGCTTCGGCCCTGTTGAGAAGCTAGCAGAAAGGAACTAGACAATTGGTTTCTGATGGACATTAGCCAAGGAGACGTGCAATTTGGAAGAGAGACAAGGGTAATTGTGCACTATAATAAGAGGGTGAAGAAAGCGGAGAGAGCATGAAAATTCCAGCATCAGTCAATCGTCTCTAATATTTACTAAAAGATTATCAATACCTTAACAAGGACAATTGAGTGCTGATGCGGCACCCAAAATGCAAGGCAAAAGATTCTTAAGGAGATTAAAAGAAGAATGCAAGAAAGGAAGAGGAAATACAAAGAATAACAGCACAATTTCTAGGAATTTCTCCAACGTATCCTTACCATTAACCACCCAAGATGCAGCTTTCAATTCTCAAAGAGCTCACAAGGCAACATTGTATACAGTTCCAATTTTATTAATTGGCCATATTTCTCGAAATGGTTTATATACACCAGCGAACCGAGTGAAGTCTTCAGACAAAAATAACAGAGGATATTATTATATGTCCCAAGGAAAGTCTTTTAAGATCTAGCTAGCTGGAGTAAAGGCTAGTATTAAAATTTTCCGACTTTGGTTGACAAAGTTCGTCGAGGCAGCATTATTTGTACCCGCTCACGTTCCTACTCGAGGAAACCAAACTTTGAACCAGGAAATCAAAATTTAAATCAGTCTATACGTATTTCCTTGGACGAGTGCTCAAAAATCATCACTTTTCTAAACATATTGATGTTAATCTTGCATAGTAACAGTAAATTAGGTTTGAGATGTGTGACAATTTCAACTAAGTGGACAAAGATCACAGGAACACAGACTATAGATCAGCAGGAGAAAATACCAGAAAACACTAATAAATCCCATAAATATAATGACCAAGATTAATGAAGCACACCTCCTTATTGACATCGGGATGATACTTGAGAGCGAGCTTGCGATAGGCCCTTTTGATATCATTGGGAGTTGCAGAAGGAGACACTCCTAAAACTTCGTGTGGAGACTCTCTTCGACTCGCCCTCACACTAGCGCACCTCTTATTTCTCCTCTCTCCATAGCAGTAGTAGTTTCTGCAGCTCAAAGTGTGAGAAAAACCCGGTTGCTTTATCACAATAAACTTGCTGCAATCCGGTACCAAAAACTTGGATTGAGCTTCAGAGAACAATAATGGTTTTACAGCTAGGAAGTTTCTAAAGGGTGTCAGAGACGGAGCAAATCCATGCATGTTCTTGAACTTGTATTCATAACTACAGCCAGTAGTTTCCGGTGATTTTCTCCTCCTTCAAGGGGAGAGGAGAACGCTTGTGGATGGGACGGCATCTATCCTTTTTGTGTGTGCGGTCCTTAAATCCCCGGTTGACAAATTGTTACCTATTTTTAACCACCAGAAGCCGACAAGGATGAAAAAATATATATATATATATATATATATCAATTTATTTGTCGTATCAAAAATTTAATTTTTATACATGATAAATATTTTAAAACATCTCCAAAAAAGCATGGTAACGAGATACCTCTCTTAATTTTTTTTTTTTTTTTTTTTTTTTGTCGACGCAGGGTGTTCGGGTCAATTCTTACGGGGTCCGACTAATCCCCTGAGGCCCGGGAGAGGAGACCCCATTCCACATCGAACACGTTAACAGCGGGACTCGAACCCTGGACAAATCAGGAAGATCGCCACACCCTAAGGAGAGGGAGTGGACCGCTCGAGCTACCCTGCGGGCCAGGTACCTCTCTTAATTGGTTAAATAAATATCGCCTCGCTTCTAGCTTCCAGTAAAAAAAAAAAAAAAAATCACCTAGCTTTGAGATTTGGCAGGAACTGCAACCTTAACAATATCAGGCTTTCTGTAGTGAACTAGTGCTCCGTCCCTTAAAACTACGTATTTGTACATTCTTTCTCCTAGTGCTGTAAATGGGTGTCGAAGTCCTTGCTTGAGTTTGAGATTTTGAGCTCAAACAGAAGTCCTTGTAGGCTGCCAAATTGGCAAATATAGTCTTTGAAGTGTCTGAGACGGCCAAATCTCCATGCATATTCAATCATCATAAGATATGAATCTGATGGCAACTACTTGGAAGATGATTGTGGGGAATTCACCTTTATGTTCTTTTGCTTGCAACAAAAAAGAGCCTCTTGAGCCTCAAAGGATTAAGAAATTTGGAATTGAGCATCTCAGGTTCAGGAATGACTTTAAGTTGCTTGACAAAATCACTCAAAGGATTAATGTTTCTGTCTCGGGTTCCGGTATGACTCGTCCTGTAAATGGAAGTGAAATGGGTGTAATAGAAGACACCGACTTTGAACTAATTAGTGGAATCATTTACGATGCATGTAAAGAGCAGGGAGTAAATGCAATGCCTGGTTTGCTTTGTTGGGAATGGAATTTGACGGATAAGAAAAATATTGTAGATCAACTGAGTTATTGCAGTAGGGAAGGAAATTTAGGAGTTGGCAAGATATTCCATGCTTTGGTGATAAAGACAGGGTTTTGTGGTGACAAGATTGTGGATACAGCTCTTGTTAATATGTATGCCAAGTGTGGCGAAATTGGTAGTGCAGTGAAGGTTTTTGATGGGATGCTTTCCATTGATGTAGCTTCATATAATTGCTTGATTTCTGGGTTTCTGAGCAATGAAATGTTTGATGAAGCTTTAGGCTCTTTGCCAGATGGGAGTTTGGGAAATAAGGCCGAATCACTACACATTTTCGATCATGATATCTGGTTGTGGGAGTGTTTTTGCTATCAATGAAGGGATTCAGCTCCATGCACATGTAGTGAAGCTGCAGCAGGATGTAGTTAATGGAGTTGTTGCTAATTCTCTTTTGACAATGTATTGCAAGTTTGGGATGATGGAGAATGCTCAAAGTTTGTTTCAAAGTCTTCCTAAGAAGAATGTTGTATCTTGGACTGCCATTATATCTGGACTTTACCAGCAAAGAGCATTAGAGAAGGCCCTGCTGCAGTTCTACTTGATGAGACAACATGGATTTGAACCAAATGAATATACATTGACCATGGCCTTATCTTCTTGTGGAGGTATAAAGCAGTTTGACAATGGTTATGCACTTCATGCTCAACTAGTTAAAAAGGGCATGGCTTCGGAGCTTTTGTTGGCACTGCAATCGTAGACATGTATACAGAGCTTGGGCAAATGGATAATGCTGAAAAACAGCTTCAGGAGATGGGTACAATAGCATCCGCTGTATCATGGAATGCACTAATTGCAGGGTTTGTTCACAATAATAACATAGAAGCAGCATTGAAGGCTTTTCATAAAATGGTTCTAAATTACGTACCAATTGATGAGTACACCTTTTCAAATGCCCTGAAAGCTTGTTCTTCTCTCCATCCCTTTCCACAAGCAGGCAAATTCATTGTTGGGTGATTAAAGCCAGCTCTGAAAGAAACTTACATGTTGCAAGCTCGTTAATTGAAGTGTATGGAAAATGTGGCAGTTTAGATGATGCTGAAAAGGTATTTGACCAGATATCAATGCCGGATATTGTGTCATGGAATTGCTTGGTCAAAGCTTACTCACAGCATGGATACTTTGAGAAGGCTGTATCTTTGTTTAAAAAGATGGTTGTGGAGGGTGTAAAGCCAAGTGGTTCTACTTTTCTTGCAGTTCTTTCTGCTTGTAGCCACTGCGGATTAGTTCAAGAAGGCAAAGAATTTTTCAAATCCATGTTGATGAACTACAGTGTTATACCTGAGGAAACACATTATTGCTGCATGGTAGACTTGTTTAGCAGATCAGGACATCTGGAGGATGCTCTAGATTTCATAAAAAGATTGCCAATCAAGCCCACTGCTCCAATATGGAGACCATTGCTCGCGGGTTGCAGATGTCACTGTGACCTTCAACTGGGGAATATGTTGCCAATCGTATCCTAGAATTAGAACCAGATGATGCATCAGTTCATGTCACCTTGTCAAACATGTACTTTGATGTAGGAAGATTAGGTGAATTGGTTAAGCAAAGAGAACTAATGAAACTGAAGGAGGTTAAGAAGGAACCAGGTTATAGCTGGATTGAGGTTAAAAATAAAACGTACAAGTTCTTTTCAGGAGATACAACTCACCCTCAAACTCCAGAAGTATATGACCTGTTAGAGAAGCTCATTAATGATATCAGGGTAGTCAATCATGCTTCGACTTTGAGTGAGATATCTACACCTCATACAGAACTAGGACTATGTAATGAAGGGAAGCTTTTGTATCATAGTGAGAAGCTTGCAGTTTGCTTTGGCTTATTAAATTTGCCTGCTGGAACCCCTATTCGTATTTTCAAGAACATTCGAGTCTGCTCAGATTGTCACACAACAATGAAGCACATATCAAAGATTACTAAACATGAAATATTACTAAGGGATAATTACAGGTTTCATCACTTCAAGCAGGGTTGCTGTTCTTGTGGGGATTTCTGGTGACGCTAACTAAGATGTGGATAACCCATCTTAGTTAGTGACCCCTTTGTGAACTAGAAGTAAAATTCTTTAATCTGACCATGCTGCAAGGTGTATCGTACTGCATTTGCAGGAGTCTACTAAACGAATTTCATTGAATTGATCAGAGGAGTTCAAAATGGATGTCAGTCTACTTTCAGAGGGACTTGATACTCCAATGCAATCAGAATGCAATGGAGAATTGTCCACTACTTATCAATGACGCCATGTAGCTAAGATGAGAGCATGTCTCAACCAATTTTACCAAAATGTAGAAAGCAGCAACTAGGATTCTTTCTTGAACATGCTGTACAATCTCGTAATGCTTGCTTTTGGAAGTATTTTCAAGCATAGGGATGGTAGTTTTCAAGAAAGACTTGTCAAAATCATCCCTTTACTTTTTTTTTTTTCCTGTGAGGGATCATAATTGTACCTCTGTAGAACTCTTGGTAGATTTTCCCTTTAAATTAGCATGTAGTACAATTGTTATTATGTATGTATGCATGCATTTATTTGAATTGATAATAGTCATGAAGCATTTCCCTGGTGATAAACTAGATTCAAGTTTGTAGCTTACATGGTCTTACCTCTTTGAACGGCGTTTCGTTTCTTTTTCCTTGTTCTTTTATTCCCAGCGCAATTTTCTATCCATCAATAACTCTCAGCTCTTGGAAGAAAGAGCTTTCGTTTCAGCATACCATTTCACGAAAGAAAAAAGAGGTACAATTTTCGATTACCACTTTCATCTAATGCAGCCAAGTGCTCATATATTTTGTCACAATTAAGGTTTAAAACATTAAACTGCTTTGTTAATTTTAGATCAAGTTCGGAGATTTCTACCCTACGTATAACCGGGGATGTGGATTTGAATTTTGAAGAGCTTCTGTATATGTGTCAACATTGATCTTGCCTAAACCAATGTAGATATTCACATGTTTAGGAGGGCTGATCTTAGTACAACAATCATTCCCAGATGGAGCCCTCTGCAGAAATTTCTTTTAAGTTTCCGTCCCTTTCACTCCTCATCCAATGGCTACACAAAAATCATTGAGAAATTTGGTCGAGATCGAGCCCTGCAATCTGGTAGAGCTTTACACGCTCACCTGATTATCAACGGGTTGGCTTGTAAACCCCACTTCGCTTCTAAGCTCATAGCCTTTTATACGAGTGCAAACATTATCCCATGCTCAGAAGCTGTTCGATGAAATTCCCAAGTCAAATGTTCGACGTTGGGTTGCTCTAATTGGGGCCTATGCTCGCAATGGGTTGTATCAGGAGGCAATGCATGTTTTCTCTGAAATGCAAAAGGAAGGACGAAAGCCAGTGAGTTTGTCATTCCTAGTGCACTAAAAGCTTGTGGGCACCTCTCGATATGCGAACTGGTGAAACAGTACATGCTTTGGTGGTGAAATATGATTTTGAGTCTGATGCTTTTGTGATCAGTGCGCTGATTGATATGTATTCGAAATGTGTGAACATCAAGAGTGCAAAAAGGGTGTTTGACAGGATGGCGGATAAAGATTTAGTGGCTCTGAATGCTATGGTTTCTGGATATGTTCAACATGGGATTGTTAAGCAGGCATTGGTTTTGGTTCAAGAAATGAAGTTACTAGGAATGAAGACCAATGTCATCACATGGAATACAATTATTGCTGGATTTTCGCAAGAAAATGACGAAGTGATGGTTTGGGAAACGTTCAGACAGATGCGCAAAGATGGGATTGAGCCTGATATGGTGTCCTGGACTTCTGTAATTTCTGGTTTTGTGCAGAACTTTGTAACAAAGAGGCTTTTGATACATTTAAATGGATGTTGGATGCGGGACGCGTCCGAGTACAGCAGCTACAATCAGTGGTCTCTTACCTGCTTGTGCAACTGCAGCAGATATAAAACATGGAAAGGAAATACATGGCTATCAATCGTGATGGAAATGGAGAAGGATATCTTTGTCAGGAGTGCTCTCATCGACATGTACGCCAAATGCGGGTATATCAATGAAGCAAGGGGGTTGTTTGACAACATGCCTGAAAGGAATACAGTTACTTGGAATTCCATGATTTTTGGTTATGCAAATCACGGACATTCTGACAAAGCAATTGAACTATTCAACAAAATGCTAAGAGAGGAAGAAAGAGAGCTGAATCACTTGACTTTTACTGCTGCTCTGACAGCTTGTAGTCATGCAGGGAGGTACCACTTGGAGAGAGCCTATTCCAATTGATGCAAGAAAAGTATGGGATTGAGCCAAGATTAGAGCATTATGCTTGCGTGGTTGATCTTCTTGGAAAGGCAGGGAAGCTTGCCGAGGCCTATGGTTTCATTCAGAGGATGCCAGTGGAGCCTGACTTATTTGTGTGGGGAGCATTATTAGGTGCATGTAGACAGCATGGCAATGTCGATCTAGCAGAAATTGCGGCAGATCAGCTGGTTAAACTTGAGCCTGAGAGTCGAGGAAGTAGTGTTTTGTTGTCAAATCTATATTCTGCTTCCAGTAGGTGGGGAAAAGCTACGAGCTGAAGAGGATAATGAAGAAAAAGAAACTGAAAAAATTTCCTGGCTGTAGTTGGATAGAGGTGGTATGAGACGTTAAACGTGGTTGCAACAAGTGAGTTGATTCCTGAGCGGCCAATTTCTAGCTTTAGAAATTTGTCATAGTGAAGTTGATGATTATGTATGGTTACCCTTTTGAGTAATAAAAGCTTCTATCGTTTCGGAAAAAAAAAATAGTGAATTGATGTTTAAGTTCATCAAGACGATGATCTCGTAATAAATTTAGTTAAACATGAATCAGTTTTATCGTTCAGTCAATTGTCTGTGAAATTGTTAGTGTCGATCATGTACCATATTAACAGTATAAAGTCAACAATAACCAATTTTAAGCTAGGAATCAGGCTACATACTTGACATATAAGAAATTTTCTCTTCGTAGTTTTCTACACTTTTACAACCCAAATCGAATCCTATGCAACTCTTAAAGAGGAGAATTAGTAAATTCTTAAACTCGAACACAGTTGTGAAAGTGATCCATTTCCAAGTCCAAACAAGTCACTTAGGAAAAATACAAACACAATTTTAGATGTGGAAACCAAACATGCAAACAAATTTTAATATATCCACTGGGATCGATTAGAGGGGAAAAAAAAGACACAGGGCATGGCCAATCCAAGGCTGTTGCTGAGTAGGCTTTCCCTATCTAGTATCTACTCAACTATATCCAGAAACAAGTCCCTTTGTCGAGTGCCAGTGCAATAAGCAGTAAACGGGCTGCAACTGTCTCATTAAAGTTCACCAATCAACAGCAAACAATATATCCAGCATGTGTTGATCAAGCTATTTAAGTATTTCATTTTTTGGGATGGTAGTAGGGATAGGCAAAAATTAGAGTTGCAAAACTAGAACAGAAAAATGATTATTACATGATGACTATAACACAGAAAATCCAACATTTGGGAAAATCTGCACTGATCTCCAGCTCTTTAAAAGAAACAATATAAATCAAGAAGATGATTGCAAAACAACACATATATTGCAAGCTGCAGCTATATGGCTTTAGTTCACTTCACTTGCCGAAATGCACAAGTTTAAACACATCCAGGGAAAGAAATCAGAGTCATGTATCCATGCATTACGCTACAGCCTAGTGATGTAGACAGTATCTCATTGTTCCCTAGCTGTACTGAAAACAGTCCACCTTTATAGCCCAACTGAAACGAATACAAATTAATATAGTCAAGGAAAACATTTCAATTAAGTAATGTCCTATTAGTCAAAACTTGAGAATATTGCCCTTGCATGTACAATTTTCTTTTTTTTTTTAATTCTTTTTGTAAAGAAAAGGCCTGATACATAAACGTAGATAAAGGAGGATAGGCATAGAATACCAATGGGCAAGAGCTGCTGGCAAATGTTTGACTAATTCTATTATTTATTTGTGATCTGGTTGCTGTAGAGGAACATTCAGCAGTCATTAATACATAAGAAAATACTATTATCAATAATGAACAGGCTAAGAATATACTAACAAGTTGCAGCAGGTAGATGATATTATCCTGAGACCAACTTCCACTTAATGTATCACCACTAGATTTCGAGCCGTAGTCTTTCTGCTGCCTAGCTAACATATGGGTGCAGAATGTCACTGGTTACATCTGAAACTGTTTCCAATGGTTTCATTGAAACTTCACCAACATCTGAAGGGTCCATGCTCAAGCTACAATATAAGTTGAAATTCAGTGATTAAAATTCATTGAGAAATTTGCACTATTGAGTCGGAAGCATATATGAATGTACACTTTATTTAAGTGTAAGATGTATACTTCAATTATACACATTTCCTGTATCTAGATGAGCATCCCCTTGCAACCACATTTAATTTCTTCTCATCAATCCAAAATTCAATCACATTAATCAAAAATCAAACATTTTTTCAGTTGGATTTACTCTCAGCAGTCAGCACCTTACAAAAAAAAGTAGGACAAGTCAAAGAGTTTAGTTGTCTAAAACGCAGTTTTACATTCACTTAAGAAACAAGTCACTCTTTACACTGTTGTTGCATGAATGTTCAAGCTGTAACTGAGATTATTCTCATATGATAAGTGTCAACATTTGCAATTCAAGAATCACTGAGAACAGTGGCTCCTTGTCATGCAGGCATTACAGATTTGTTCACAAACAAGGCACCACAGAGCAGCATAATTTGTTTTGCATTCTGACGCATAATAATAGGCAATAGTCTAATCATTTTGGAGACTATAACAAGAAAATGAATCCCGTTTTGGTTCTGATGGCATCAAACGTGAAGTTGTACGTGACCATGCAATGACTAACATGGATAAGGCTGTGAGGGCATAAAACCAACAGGCGCTGAAAGATCATTGCATCTGCACCAAGAAGAATGTCTACATTTGAACTGGAGAATGATCTAAAATTGAGGATAGAGCTAATGGACCCAAACTGAGGAAGGAAGAGGAAGCTTGACAAGATCAAAATGCCATTAATTCACCCACGAAACAAATTTAAAAAAAAATCTACCAAGGAAAAATCCTATTGGCAATTCGCCTAGTCACATTCCCAAAGAGCTCACTCTATCCTACACCCAAAACCAACTTGTATCAGCTAAACTAAGAAACAAAAATGAATAAATAAATGAAGAACTCCAATAATGTTAAATGAGACTGCAATACAGAAAACAAGAACCTCACCTATCCTTTCTACTACTCCTCGGCACATCAAAAGACTTGAAAAAGTTATTTATCATTAGGAGCAACATGGTGATGATATGGCGCCAAAGTCGCAAATTTATTCCCAGCCCAGTCCCTCTGCTGTTGTACCATACCATACTGATGGTGATGGTGTGATGATGATGATGAGATTCATACCCATGATAACCGCCCGGGGTCGGCCCCGGCATTCCCATCATCGGCACCGAAACCATCTGTGCCCCCGCCGGAGGCGGATAAGGCATCGGAATCGGCATACCAACATGCCCATTACTATTCCCATGTCCATGTCCATGCCCGGTTGCAGCTCCGCCGCTGCCACCACCGGTAGAGTCATGCAAGCTCGGCGGCACCGGCGTCGAGGCGAACAAATGATCCGACGAGGACGGGCCCTCCGTCGACAAACCTTGCATTCTCTTCAAATAAAGGCGATATTTTTGCAAATGACTGGCAACATTTTCTCTCGTTAATCCTTCCACGTTCATCAGCTGCATAATTGTTTTTGGGACAGCATTTTGATCCCTAAATGAGCCACGACGTCGACGAACCGCTTGTGCAATTGCGGAGTCCACACCAGCCTCGGCCTCTTCAAAGTCCGGGCAGAAACATCCTCCCCGCAATTCTCATTATTATTAGTACAACTATTTTTCCCGGCAGCTGAGGAATCAGCTTCTTCAGTCGGGGATTCCGTTAATCTTCGGGTCTTCCTGGAATCGGAGCCTTCTCGGGTCAGATCGGTGGTTTCGTCAATATCAATAATCATGTTGTCCCGGTGGGTCCGGTTGCCGGTGATGGTGGTTCCATCGTGGAATGATTTGAAATTATTCGACGAAGATAAGGCTTGAGAGTGATGACTACTGCCGCCGCTGGCTCCGCCGCAGAGGGAGGCTAAAATTTTCTGAGACTCACGGTTGACGTCGAGCATGCTCCGGGAAGGTTCCGGGGTGATTCTGAAGGCCGAAGCAAGATCCGGCGGAATCAACGCCTGAGATAAGGGAGTCAAATCATCGATGCCAGGTAATCCGGCTTCCCAATCGGATACTCTGTCGTCATCACCGCTGCCGCTGCCGCTGCCGTTATCGTAACCGTTAATTTTCACTTCTTCGCCCATGCCTGAATTCAGCCAAAAAAAGAAAAAAAAAACGGCACGTAATTTATTTTATTTTCTCTCAGGGGGGGGAAATGGGAAGATACTTTTAGGAGAAATAAAGAGAAAGAGAAGAAGAGGGCGGTGGAAAATGGGGGGAAATAAATAAGTTGGGGAAATACTAAAAAGTGAAGGAAAAAGTGCAATATCTGATTCCAAATGGGGTGCCACGCTGGATGCCTTGGCTAAGATATTTTTGATCCTCTAAATATCTATCTCTCTTACTTTATTTGCTGTCTGATGTTTGGGAAAATCTTCTTCTTCCAATTCTCTCACTCGCTCTCCGTCCACTTGGGCTCCACTCTCTCTCGCTTCTCCGATCCTTACCCAAAACCTTCCTTGCTTTGGAAAGGTACTCATACGCTAGTTAGATCAAGTATGTGTTATTTTTATTATCAAAAAAAAAAAAGTATGGGTTATTTTTGTCAAAATTTAGTGTCTTTGATTACCACCAATTCATGATGACGAATTTTCTTCTAATCAGAGACTCTCAAGAATCCAAATCCCAACCCCTAATTTATTTTCTGAGTATCAAATGACCAAGTTGATTTTTTTTTTATCGGCTCTGTAAGAATAAAGTAAATTAACACTGAAATGTACGTACACTTACATACATTTATAGATTTCTAATTTATTGCCTAAATGCATATACATACGAATGTAGGTGTAAATTCTGTAGTATTCCAATTTTGTCAAGCAAATCCAAATAAGAGGACTACCACCATAGGATTGGTAATACCGCTACAAACATAAATTGTGTAAGAGTATACTGTACATTTTTTGGTCCCAATTTTAGGAAATTCTTTCTACTATTGACCGAATTGCGGCTGCAGCGGTTTTCGGGTTTCTCCAGCTTCCATTTCATCGTTTGACTCTTGATTGCATTCATTGCTGCAAATGGGGATAAAAAGCGCAAACACAAAGTGGAGATGTTATTGGTGAAAAGATACCAAAGGCGGCATCGTGGACCAATGGAATTATTTAACTTTGGAAAACAGCTGTGTCGGGAAGACGTGGACAATTACCGACTGCACAAACTGGGAGCTGCTGTGGTGCTGCTCTCTTCACCGTTGGATTGTCCACGAACTAGCCCCCACGCCCAGATTCCTAGGCACGTCAACGGTGAGCAGAGCCAGTTACAACATGATCGCATGATGCAGATCCTGAAGTTCGAGGGATATCTCTCCTCGAAAATTGCCCCATGAAAACATTCTGGTAACAACAACAAAAATGGACATTACGGCGGATTGGGTTCTCAAAAGACATCAAATAGCCGGTACTACCGGTACGTATGCCGCCACAAAAAATTGCTACAAGTAATCCATTTTTTCACCGTAAAGGCTT